TTTACAAGTTCTTTCTTGAGCTGCACTAGGCACCCTCACACTATCATCCAACTCTCCTCTTCATCACAGCCAATGCTCATCTGTGTAACTTCTCAACTACTCCCACACTACTGACATAAACAGCTGTTTGCTGCCTATAAACTTTCTGGGTGAAAAGCAAAACATCTATATGCCTGGAGTCAAAGTCTGATCAGAAGAGACATGTCTATTTTGGTTGGTTATCATCTTTTGAGGAAGTAGCGTGAACCCTTCTGACAGCTGTAATTCTGAGCTAGACCTTACTACTCCCTTTCAAGTATCTCCAATCCTGGCTCATCAGCATCCAGAACAAAGTTGCCTTCTCATATAAAGCTTACACTAAATCCACCTGCTACTATGTTTTGCCTCATATTCTTCTAGTGCACAGGTTTCAGAAGAAGGTAAGAGCCTTGCCAGATCAGACTAACTATCCATCTAGTCCAGTATTCATTTCACGCAAAACAGCTACCCACATAATCCCACAGCAGGATATGGGTACAACAGCACCCTCCTGCACAAATCCCCAACAAATGGTGTACACAGGCACATTTCTTCCTACTTGCACTTAAACTGACCTTGTAGCTACATCCACCTAGTATTTTGCTAACATCTGTTCAGCCATCAGCAGTTTATAATGTTTCTGCACTGAAGGGTTAACAGACTTATTGTCATCTAGCAAGCCTCACTCCAAAACTATGATTCCATCTCACTGGACTTCACCCATGCCACATTATCAATGGATTCATTCAAAGTCAACCTCTTGCTGAAATTTAGATTCAGCTGATCACTGTTTTCTTATGTTCAGAATGCTAAACCTGTAGAATAGCAAAGGGAAGCCAACAGAATTGGTTTTACAGTTTCCTCCAATAAAGGGGACTTCACAGGAATACAGAAGGCATTTCTTAGTGCCACATTTTCTTGGCAATCCATTAACATCCTATGTGGTATTCTTTCTCAGCCAAGTTCTCTTCTCAAGGTAGTGGAGCAAGGAGAACTATGATTAGGCATAGACAACACAAAGTGGACCACCTAACATCCTCAGCCACGGGAATCTTCAGAAAATGCAGAACTAGGTGGGCCGGGTCTGAGCCTGAAAAGCATCCCTTATCATGAAATAAACATTTTAAAGCAATACTGCATATACAGGACCATGTATCACAAATTTGACAAACTGTAACTAACTGTAACTATTACAGAGACCCTGTGTATACATTCTCATTTTGCAATTCAGTAGTTCCTGAGGATTCTAATTGAGAGAGAGCGCGCGCAAGCACAGGGATGAAGCTGACCATCCCTGGTGCACCACAACCTCAGCACTCTACAAATTACATGCTCTCCAATAACCACAGAGCACTACCACTCCCTGCTCCAAGAGGATGAGCTGTGATCTGGAAATCTTCCCACTTCAGAATTCAATTTACTAAGTGGCCTTAAGCTAGATCAGAGGAAGACAACTTGGTCCCCTTCGTATGCTTCGGACTACAACTCAAACAATCTCTGACCAAACTGGCAGGGACTTAAACAAGTTGTAGTGCAAACTACCTGAAGAGCACCAAGTTGACTGACCGTACACTAGACTGTATTCTCTCAAGTATCCATTCTTCATTGTAACATGAGGATACCCACAACAAGTTACTTGTAAGAATTACCAGAATAATAGATGTATATCCTGTTCACTAAAAAGAAGAATTCTAAAATCCTCCTCCTCCATTTATATCCTGCCTTTTTTCATCCTGCCTAGGTGAGGCTGCTTACAGAGTTCCATTTTATCCTCACAAGGTAAAATGAGGTAGGTTGAGCTGAGAGTAAGTGACTGGCCCAAAGACACCCAGTAAGCTTCATGGCCAAGTGGGGGCTAGAACTCGGAACTTTCAAGTCCTCAGTTCAACACCCTAAACCTAACCACCACACCATGCTGGCTCTCAGTGGCCATGCTGGCTGGGAAGGATGGGAGTTTTAGTCTATTAGATCTGGAAGATACTAGACTGGAGAAGGCTGTGATAACCCATTCTAATCATTATTATCATGTTACAACGGCATGCAAGCAGGTTGCACCAGGCAACTTTTAAGCCTATATGAAAAATATCAACAGCCAAATCAACAGTCCAGTGAAACGTTACGATTTAAAGTTTTTAGGAAAAACCACATACAAAATATTTCCCTTTTTGTGGAAAGCACAGCAGTGTATTTTGCCAGAATCACACATTTGAAAGCTGTAATGTACAGGTCCATTGACCTTTCACAATCTGGAAACTAGGGCTTCTGTTCATTTCAGGGTTTCCTATAAAAAGCACTAAATCTCCATGGTACAAAGAGAGGCTTTCATTTCCACAATGGCCCTCTTGGATATTGTCTCAAATATGTGCCATTTCCATACAATGCTACTTTAAACAGAAGAAAATATATGAAAAGGATCTGTTAATTTACTAACATTTTCTAAATAGACTAAAGCACTCTTCCTAAGGACTATTTATTTCAAAAACTAAGTATTCATCCTTCTACTTCTGAGGAAGTCACATCTATATATATATGTGTGTGTGTGTGTGTGTGTGTGTGTGTGTACATACATATTTTAAACAAACCGAAGTTTCACAGGACTGCAGGTTGGCCAAGCAACAAACACACTTAATGCAGCTGATCTCCTTAAAAGGAATGCATCAAAGACACTGCTTTTGCCACACCCGTCTCAAGAAAACAGCATTAAAAAGGAAACCATTGCACCACAGTGGTGATCAAGCAGCTGCCATATTAAAAAGTATGCCCTTTATGAACCTGACCTGGCATGTGAAATCTGGTGATAAAGTTGACTCAAATAAATAGTTTCAAATACAAAGGACAAACTGGAAAAGGAAGCGCTATTGTTGCTCCAGTGTGATGCGATAGAGCTGAGCTTTTTGAAATGACCTCCCCCTCTCCATTATTGCTAGACAGCTGTTTTCAAAGTGGGAAGACAAGAAGCTGTCAGTCATTATGTTCATTCGTATCCTGGTCACTCCAGTATCCTCCCATCCCCACCCACTGAACCACCCGCTTGACCCCTCTTCAAGGTCACTTTCCAGACTCAAAGTGGTTTTTGCTCTGTCAGCTATACAAGAGAGTGGGATTGGAGTGCTAATTCCAGAATCCAAACTACCTGCAGTTCACCAAACAATATGAGGCACCACAGGATTGTTCCCTCCACTAAACTAACCCCCACAAAACATACATAATCTGAAAAACTTTTACCCAGCTGAGAGCATTTAAAGAAGTCCTAAAGAAATAAACCTATTTTGCTAATACCAAATGCCTTCCAGGTTAACAAGAGAGGCTGTAAGGATAAGTTTTAGGAAACATATTCTAACTAATGCTTCTGAAGAAGCAGAATCCTCCTATGAAAACTTATGCAACAAGTATGTGATCACCTTTCAAATGACATGCTGAGGTTTTTTTTTCCCCACTAGCCACATCAGATTATATAATTCACCAAGAGAATTTATGGAATTGGAATGACTAAAAATGGTTTAAGGTTTAATGAGATTTGACATTTAAAATACTGTTTTCCCATTTTGCATTTCTTATCTAAGAGTGCATGCAAATTATTTGTTAGAACATTTACTGTGTGTTGTCTATTTATGTGCTTCTATGTAAACAGCTTAGTATTTTATGCAACACTGTATTTTAAGTGTTTTAATCTTTGTGAACCTCTCAGAGAGCTTTGACTATTGGTTCATAACAGATTTGTAATAACGAGATATGTAATGCACAAAATAAACTCCACTATGAATAGTCAAAATCCCTCAGCCATGCATTCATACACCTTTTGCTCTGCATGGCTGAATCTGCCTAAAGACCCCTTGCACCAGCAAACATTATTCATGTTGTGCTGGAAATCTTTTATACTAATGCTGTAGCAGTAGTGTGAATGGAGCAACAATGCTGGATAATGCTCCAGGGGATTAGCTATGATATGAACACATTTATATTTGTCATACCACATACATACCAGAATACTAAGTAGAATACTTGAAGACCACATCAAGTGCACTGGATTGTGAGCTAAGTTCTCTAAGTTACCATGGCACAAGTTGTGGAGACAGGGTTATTTCTCTTTGTGATGAAAAACAGAGATCCCTACTCTTCGTTTAATCCAGTCTGCAAAATTAATCACTTGCCACAATAAGGCATACAACATATTACTAGTGTGTCATATTTTATAAAGCTTATCTTCAGAAATCGAGTACCTTCTTAAATGCCTTTTCCTTCTACATAGAAAGCAAGACTTTAAATCAGCATAATTCGAAATAGATTTTTTAAAAGTAGTTTTATTAACAGCAACGCTAAAAATGTCTACTCAAGAGTCCCACTGAGTTCAACGGGCATACTTCATGCTAAGAGTGTAACGCTGTGTATGTATGCGTGCACATATATTTTTAAGAAGCAAGCTTTTATAAGCGACCTCGTGGAAAGGAGCTGGTTTCAAAAAAGCTACGCAACTGAAATTCTTCAACAGGGTGGGGGGTAGCCACAGTTGTGTCGTGACTTTGCTCTTTCGTCTGAGGCTGAGCCCTTCAACGCCGTCTCCTTCCACGCCTCCATTCAAGGGAACCCCGCCAACGCAAGCCCCGTCGCCTGCTCCGTTCTCTTCACGAGGCTTTCGAACAAGCCCTTCTCACCGTTCCCTCCCTTCGTGGGAGCGGGCGGTGCTGCGGAGACGGAGAGGCGCGGACGGGGTGGGCTGGGGTGGGGAAGGAACCGGACGCGAGACCTCGCCGTCCATTCTTCCTCTCCAGCGGGGAAGTGAGACAGCGGGAGGCAGGCAAGAGGAAACAGGAGGCGGCCGACGCCAGCCCAATGCCCGAAGGCACAACGTGCGGATAGTCCAACATGGAAGGCCGCTAAGCCGCGACGAGCCCGGAGGGGAGCGGAGGAAGGAACGGAAGAGCCGGGTTGGCGGGGGAGACAAGGAGGGGAATCAGCGCACGCCTAGCAAGCCCGTTACCTACCCAACTACCGACAGCAACGCGCCTCCGCCTCCTTCTCTTTCCCGGCCACGTCAGCCACGCCACAAGTTCCGGGTGACCGGGACACATGCGCAAAAGGGCCTCTAGCCCGCGCGTCTGGCCCCAACCCTTTCTTTCGGGCGGCTCCGCTACGGTTCCCTCCGTGGGACAATTTAGACGCAGCGGGGGGAGGGATCGTCGGAAGGAAAACGAACGCATGTGTTTAGTGAGTCTCCTAGGGGCAGAGTTCGACAGGGATACTACAATTCCCAGCATGCCTCAGGCGTCTTGATTAGAGCATGCTGGGAATCGTAGGTCCTTTGTCCGTTGAACGATGGCCGCTTTGCATGTCAAAGGTGCCATTTTCAGTTCCCAGTATCTCCAAATAGAGCTGGAAAAACTCCCGCCTGAAATCCTGGAGAACTGTTGCGGCTAGTCAGTGTTTACAATACTGAACGTGATGGATCAAGGTCTGAACTTGATCAAGGGAACTTCTACTGTTCTAACCCTCACTGGTCACAGCATGTGCTAAAAGACCCCTGTCTGTCTGTATGAGCTAGCATGTCAAGTCACCTTTGCTAAGCTGGAAAAGTTTGGGCCTATAGCTGGATGGGTGATAACATATGGAAGCAGAGCAGCGTGTTCGACTCAATGGCCTTATAGGCCCTTTCCAGCTCTATCTTGATTTATTCAGATAATGTGGGTCTGAGTGTGGCTCACCCCCTCAGAGCATTCCTTCCCTGCATGTATGGACTGAGGTGTAGCAGTGGCAATCTTTGCTGCCACATGGATGCTGGAGCACCATGTGGACATCACAGCACCAGCCTTTGCACCACACACTAAACAACCCCTTTCCTCCACTCTGAGGCTCACTTGCAACCTTGGAGAGGCAGCCACTGATTCCTTCTGTGCCAGCTGTGAGGGAGTAGGGCAGGGGTACAATGTACTAAAGGACTGTAATTTATGTTTTGGTACATGCTAAGTCTTGAGAAGTATAGGGCCTGGAATCTAGGAGCAAGGGCAGATATTTAAGCTGGCCAGATGCAAAAGAGGACAATAGTAACTTGAGACAAGCTGTGCCTTTGTGTCTTTTTGTAATCTAGTCATCCTACAAGCTTTAGCCCATCCAAAGCTGGAGTGAAGAACCTGTCAACCAAATATGAGAAGGGATAAACATTCTGTACTTCCCATTTTTCTGACAAATGCCCTTGCATCATGCCAGACAAATGTTAGGGAAATGGAGCCATTACCCCAAATAACATGTAGTTCTACCCTAGTTTTTAGGGCTTGGATTTCTTACAGCAAAGTTTGTATTCTCCCCACGCCATGTGCTGACTTCTGTGACATTAACTTTCTTCAGGAACATAAATGCTTCTTTTAAACATGTTTTTTTTTTTTTTTTTTGGAAGAAGGTTATTTTACAAATACAATTTGTATTGGAACAAATTATAATATTTACTAGTGTACACACATTTAAATTAACTAGCTCCTTCTTGAAAATTAACAAGTGCATTGCATAAATGAATTCTCTGTATTAGTTTCCCAGATAGTTTCTGAAGGGGGCTCTAGTCTATACAATCAATTCTGGAAGAGGTTGCATGGATGATGTGACTTCATATTACAGGGGGGAAATCAGTTTGGAATATTTCATTAAAAACTCACTGCAAATGCAATACTAGAATCTAACTACCTAATATATGGAGGTATTTTAACTTGCATGGGAGGTTGTCTTTTAGTTCCGTCTTTTAACATGGGAGAGCATTAAAATGGCATCCCTCACATGCAGTGTGAAATGGTACAGTCCACCTCTACCATCACATTCTGGTGATGCCAAGCATGTACACCAAGCTTAAAATTCCTCATCTTGCAAATCTCTTCCTCCTTTGTAGAACTCTTGCTTCTCTAGTTTTTGCTTTTATGAATATTAGACAAACCAAATTTTAGTTTTCCCATTTCTAGACCCCAGAGGCAACATCTAGCACACAGAGTCTGTGCACAAAATGATACATTTATTGAAAGAGTATTTTTAATACAAAAGAAAGCTCTGTACATAGTACTGCAATTACTGTCACATCCTTCCAGAAACACAACCCTGGAAATTAACAAACCCCACACACAGCCACTCACGCATACGTACACGCATACACGCACATACACACACACAAAACCCCAAAACAATCTGCAAAGTGAACTGAAAAGGTCACCACACAATAAATGCCATTTCATCCCTGATAAGTGTTCTTACAAGTCAACACTTTAAATTACATGCAACATTAGCGTTTAACCTGCAAGTGCCTTTTGTAGGGGAGCCCTTCCGAGAGAAAGTGGAATATCGAGTGAATGGTGTAAAAACACTAGAAATTGTGGGGACGGGGAGAGAATGGCCAAATCAAAACAGAGAATGTATTTGTTGAGTTTGGCTTCTCCCTGTTTTATTAGGCAACTTTTGGGCTAGTTTCATGATTGAAAAATTACTGCTTTACAGATGTTCCTCTGTCCCCAAAATTTCCCTCTTCTTTCCCCCACATCCTCCAGCAAATATGTCCCAGAGAATCCCCCATCTGAAGCAGCTGGATGGAGGGTGAGGAGGTAGAACCCATTCCACTAATAATGTTCTGTTAATAGACAATGTTGGATTATTCTGTTCTGTTAACAGACAATGTTGGATTGTTAACAGACATTATTAATTTCCTCCCACCATTACTCTTCAGTAGGTGAATACAGCTGGCCATTCACTAAGCTGTCACCTTACCACCATGGTACCAACTTACGCTACCAATTTATTTGGGAGTTGGTAGCGTAATCTACCTGCCATGGGGAGAACACATTTCACTGCGGTTTCTCCACACATTTATGCTCAAGTGAAGTAACATTCCCATTACCTGGTAGATTACCAAGCAGATGCATGTAAATAAAAATGCTCTTTATTCATTTATAAAGAGATTCTCTTGAACCCAAGCACCCATCAAACAGCTTCAGCTTTTATGTTAATTTTAAAGGGTTTATCAATTCTATATTAAACAGGAAATATTTGAGCAAAGGAGTGTTCAGTAAAAAGCTTCTACAAGGGTTTACTGCTTATCCTGCCATTAGGCAAGCAGAGCTGACCACCTCTAACAGCCAGTCTTGCACCTTGGTGGAGGGGGGACATTTCCTGCTCTGTCTCAGCTAGCAAAACAGATTGTACTTTATTAGGGAGATGATGCAAGGTATCAAGGTTGCAAGCTGTCAGATATCCCACCTGTGGAGTTCACGAGTCAGCCTTGCTCAGGCCAAGCTTTAATAGTATTCACAGTATTGTTTTTGTGCTAGTTACCAATGAAGATGGAGAAAGGAAAAGCAGATGGATTTCACAAGAATAGTGGCTTGGTCTCTCTCTCGGCCCATCTTCTTGCACAGAAACAAAGACACTCCCACAGTTGATTGTTGAATGCTTGAGAGCTATTAAATGTTTGTTGAGGCTTGATTTATATATGCATCAAAACACTGAAAACAAGTGAACTCTTGAGAATAAACTTAGGAGTGTACCATTTTAATACTTGTTGGCATTAAAACCACCACCCAAAAAGGGTCTCGCATTGGGTCCTGTGACGGGGAGGGGAGGAAAACCTGAACCTATTTGGTTCTTGTGGTGCTAGTTTGGTACTTGAAACTACTTAGCATTTGCTTTTTAAAGAAAACATTAAAACATGTGATCTACCATCTGCCGTCATCGGATGTTTTACCATCATCTGTAAGCCAGGCCTGAGCAAACTAGGCTTATTTTTTCACAATATGGCCAACAGAATTGAAATGGTAAATCAAGCAGGATCTAGATCCCAAAAATCTCTGGAAAAGAACAAGGATTAAAAACTTCTGCCCACTCCACTCCTCATTTTGTGTTTTCCTGACAGGTTTCAGATCCTGATTGGTTCCATCCGTCCAAGTACAATCCAAATGCTTGGGACAGGAGACCAGTTTAAACGCTAATGTCCATGGAAGTATTTTCAAAAGGTTACAATACAAGTTGGAAAGGCCCCTTTCCTCTCCTTTTTCCCTCCCCACCCCATGGCCCCCCACCCCACCCCCCAGTACAAACCCCATGAAAACTGTACAGGAGCCAGACTTTAATTCCTTTAAGAATTACATAAATACGGAGTTTAACACTTAGAAAAATAAAGTCTTTTTTTTCAAGGCTTCTTTTATCTTTTAATTAAAAAGAAAAGAGCAAAGAAAAAAGTTACAGTCGCTGCTTCCTTTCTTTAGAAGGCTGCAGCTTTCCTTGTTCCAAACCTGGCCTTTATTTTTTATTTTTTGGGGGGGGGGGATTGCTGAGGCGCTCACAGCAAGTTAGTCCTTGCTTTGTCACTTCTAAGCTGGTTATTTTACCACATGTGTGATTCTGTGCAAGCGAACTCTCCGACGGCACAGCTCCTTCACCAAAACACGACTCCCTTCCCTCCTGCCAACAGCACATCCTCTTCTCTTCTCCTTTGCACAGCTCTTCCCTTTCCTTGTTGTGGAGGCTTGCATTTGTTCACTCCAGAAAACTTGTGTTTGAATCGACACAGCGAGGACAGGCGCGACCCTCACGGCTACCACGCCAGTATGATCCCCTTTAGCACACGGGAAGAGCTATCCAGTGAGACCCCTGTGAGGAGGTCTGCCCCGTCCTGTGTACCCAGCCCCACTTTGAGAGCAAGGGCCAAGCATGCTTTCTCAGGCAAAAAGGGGCTATGGGCCAGTCGCGACTGCAGCACCCCCAAGCTGGCAGACTCAGTTTGAGGAAGAAAGTGTCTTGGGAAGGCATGCTTTAAGAAGTACCTCCGCTTGCATCGAGCTTCATTCCTTGGTGTGCTCCAAGCGCGTTGAGCAACAACACGGAGCTTTCCCAGCCCGCATGGCCAATGGGACGGGAGGTTTAGCCCAACACACCTGGAAGGCAGCCGACTGGGGAAGGCTGCTGTACTTGCTCGCTGTGGCACACCTGCCGCCCCGCTGCAAGAGGAAAGCACGGGCAAGGCAGAGGCAACCCAAGAGGGCATGTTCCCAGCGCTGCGGAAGGGCAGGAGCAACTGCAGTTTCTGGGCTTAAGGGATGCTGTGTGTGTTTCAAAGAACGGCCAAGTGGGGCTTACAGGCACCCGCTGGGCTGTGAAATGTGTGGGCAGCCAGACCAAACTAGACTTCACACGCTATGTGGCCAGCCAGTCCGTTATTTCCTGTCAACCGAATTTACATTCTGAGAGAGGAACCATTCAGGGGGTTAAGTTCGAAATACTCTGCTTTCTGCCCTCTCCCCAGCCAGTGCCTGGCTGCCTCAGAAGAGCCCCAGATGGATGGATCCCAGCAGAAACGGCCCCTCTTCGCAAGCCAGGGCTGAAGGCGAGGCCACTGCTGCGGCCAACTCCCGATGCATCACTCACTCACTCACGGCTTGAAGGCACAATGCTGCAGCCAGCTGAAGGACCTGAACCGCGGGTGGGGGGAGGGCAAGGGAGATCTTTGCCCCAGGACGGGCTTTAAGAAAAGAAAAGGGACGGGACAGGCAGGATGCCTACGTTGACCAGAGGGCTTCCCTTTTCCGATGGCTTCAAGCTCTTCCGCATTCCAACCTCTCCCCACAGCTTCTGTTCCTTGGCCTGGAGACAATAAACTGGGGCATTCTGGATGCATATTTGGGGGAGCGGGTGGTGATACAAACAGAAGAAGGGTTATATACATGGCAGAGCAAACTCTCCCACCTGTGAGAGACAGTTTCTTCTTTGGCTGGAGTGAAGAGGAAAACAAAGAAACCCGCAACAAAAAAAAAAAAAAACCACACACACACACACACAAAAGCACAGTAAAATGCAGCATTCAAATGCAACAAAGCCCCCCTACAGCCCAGGCTCAGCTCCCTGCTGCTGGCCTTGTAGCCATTTTAATATGAGCTCGTGTATGTGTGTGTGTGTGTGTGTGTGTGTGTGTGTGTGTCAGTGTAAATTGTGAGAGAAGAAAAAAGTGAAAAAGGCAACAATAAATAAGTGACGGAGTCCATACAAAAATAGGGACCACCAAAATCCTGGAGCAGCTTCAGGAGGGCTGCAGATCCTGGCCCGTGCACGGCACAAAAGATGGAGGCAGATGGTGCAGGTCTGGGCACCAGGTACACACTTCCCTTCCAGCCACTCCACCAGGTCCCTCCCCAGAGTTGCTCAGTCACTCTTGGAACTATGGGATGTATCCAAGTTGACCACCTGCAGCTCCGTCAAGTTAGTGCTGCTGCTGGACTGCTGCCCAATAACAGCCATCTGCAGAGACAAAAGGAGAAAACCAGCCTGTTAAGCAAAGCGCATCAAGGTTAAAACTGAGCATGAAGTCACCCCACCTCCTTGCAGTGCGCAGGTGCAGCTACACCTTTCATTCTGATTAAAATGCAGCAGGACCCCCATATCTGCTGGCTCAGTCACCACACTGTCACTTAACTGCGGCTGACTTCAGTCTGGAAGAGAAGTCATTGGGTGCTTCCTTTAAGTGAGCATTCTTGATTTAATAGGGAAAGAAAAATATATGCTGAGGTTGGTAGGATGTGTGGTAAGATCAAATCTTCTATGAATGAAATTGTGAAAAAAACATGTATATGTACGGAATATAGTGTTCTCTATTACCCACCATTTCAGGCATCTGCTGGGGGAGTCTGGAACATATCCCTGCAGATACGGGGATCCTGCTATTCTCCAAAACTGCCTTTCAGGATAACAAAATAACGCATTTAGTGACAAAAAAAAAATCCCCCAAGCATAGGCTGATGGGATCTGAACTAGCAGAGTCCAATCAAGAAAGGGATCTTGGGATTATGAGGGACAGCACAATGAAAATGTGGATCCAGTGCGCAGTTGCTGTGAAAAAGGCCAACTCCATGTTAGGCGTAATTAGGAAAAGAATTGAAATTACTCCACTTATACAAATTTCTGGTGCAACCCCGCCTAGAATATTGTGTTCAGTTCTGTTCTCTACACCTGGAAAAGGACATTATCGAATTGGAAAAAGTGCAGAGAAGAGTAAATAAAATGATGAAGGGGTTGGAGCAACTCGCCTATGAGGAACAGTTACAACAACTGGGATTGTTTGCACTTAGAAAAAAGAGGAGACGGTGAGAGAGAGAGGAGAGGTGTGCAGCATAATGCCTAGTGTGGAGAAAGTGGAGAGGGAGACATTTTTCTCTCCCCCCATAATACTAGAACCTGGGATCGAAGCTGATTGGTGAGCGCTTCAAGATGGATAAAAAGAAGGGATTCTCCAGACAGTGCATAGCTAAACCATGGAATTCACTGGCACAGGAAGTGGTGATGGCCACCACTTTGGATGCCTTTAAAAGAGAACTGGACAAATTCATGGAGAAGAAAGTTATCTGTGACTACTAGCCTTGCTGGCTAGGTGCTGCTACCTGTGTCCATGTTGCTGAAGTGCTTAGGCAGGCGGAACTCTTAATGGACTGCTGGACTTGACAGACCCTTGGTCTGACCCAGCATGGCTTTTCTTATGTTCTTACAAAACTCTCCCAAGACACTCCAAAAGGTAAAAAGAAATGTGGCAAACAAGCACCGCATTTATTACTCTCCTTAACTTTAATTCTGCAGATACTCCAGCCCCCAGCCTCTCCCTACTCCCATAATGCTGAGGCCAAGTCATAACCATCATCCACCTGGCAAAAGACACAACTCAGGAAAGAAGTGAAACAAAAGAGGCTTGAGGGCTTCTGTGAGAAATGAGGATGATGGGGCTGGGCAGGCTTCAGCTCCCAAAGCAGAGGGACCACTGCAGGAAGGCCGCTCCCCCACATTCATCAGGCACATGGCTCTCACAGACACACAAGCAACAGGGGTTTCGATTGCTGGTCTTGATGTGTGGTAAGGCCGATATGGGTGAAGATGCTTCTTGATGTGGTTTAAGGCCAAGGTGAGCCAGAGCGGTTTCACATGTACCCTGGACTAACCAAGCAATCAACCAACCAACCAAAGCAGATCCCTGCCATTTCCCACTCCCAACAGTGGCCTAAAAATGCCAAATTTAGCTTTAAAAGTAGGCCCATTTTTCTCTTCCTCCTGCTGCCACCACCAAAATTCAGCAGTCCGCAGCAGGAGGGTGGCTGCCTACAACAGTGTACGGTTGTCCTCTGAAGCCCTCGAAGCTTCCCACTGTTGATTTCTTGATTTAAAGCTGTAATTGCAGCCTTCACCAACCTGGTGCTTTCCAAATACAGTGGGGTGCCCTACAAAGGATGCAATCCACCACGCTATTCCCACCCACCAGGACAAGTGGGGGTATCCTACAGTTGCAAGGCTCTGCCCAAGCACCGTCCAGGAACATCAGAGAAAGCAACCCTCATCTACCATGAGAGAATGAGCACAGCTGGCCTCCAGCATTAATCCATGATGGATAAGAAAAATTCTGTATGTCTCAGGAGACTAAAGCCTGGGAAACTCTGGCTCAGAAAATATTTGCCTGATGACCTTGAGTGCCAAATAATGAGCTATCTTATCTGATGCAGTCCTATAACAAGCTCTCTCTCCTCTTCCACCACATGGAAACACATTCATTCATTCATTCATTCTATTTCTATCCCGCCTTTTTTCTTTTCAAGGAACTCAAAGTGGCTTACATAATAAATATTAACAGGGAGCAGCAGAAAGAAATGTAAATAAATAAATACTCTCATATCATGCTGGTCCTACAATGCCTGCCAATTGAAGTCCAGGCCCAATTTAAGGAGCTGGTAATGACTTATAAGGCCCTAAACAGCTTGGGTCTTGGATACCTGAAGGAGCGCCTTCTTCCCTATGTGCCAGCCCACCCCTTGAGATCTGAGCCAGAGGTTCTTCTCTGGGAGCCATCTTTGAAAGAAATCCGGAGGGTAGCCATTCAGAGAAGGGCCTTTTCAGTGGTGGCGCCCAGACTGTGGAACATGCTTCCCAGGGAGGTCTGCCTGGTGCCGTCACTTTATTCTTTTTGGGATCAGGCGAAGACCTTTTTATTCTCCCAATATTTGAACAGTTAAATGGTTTTATCCTTGTTTTTATCATTATCTGTCAAATGCAGTGTGCTGTCTGTTGTTGTTGTTACGATCACTTTGGTTTTGGTTTTTCTGCTTTTTGTAAACTGTCCAGAGACTTTGAGTATTGGGATGGCATATAAGTTTTTTAAATGCATATAAACATAATTTCCTCCAGTGTTATCCTCACAAAAAGAACCCCATGAGGTAGGCTGGGCTGAGAGGCTGTGACTGGCTCAAAGTCACCCGTGAGCGCCATGGTTGAATGGGGGCTAGAACCTGGACCACCCGAGCCCCTGGCCTGCATTCTTAACCACTGTACAACACTACCACCCTATACCACACCTGGATGTGAGAAGCCTTAGAGTTACTGAATGGGCATGTTCACCTGACGGTGGCATTTTCTTGACAAGAATGCACTGTCATCTTGCCCTTAATTAAACCTGCAAATTTGCTGTGCTGGAGGGGGCAGGTAGGAGCAGGGGCAGCATTAATGGAAGGTGTTTGAAAATGCAGAACGTGGGGGTTCTTCACCAGAAACACCCTTTGGCTTTCTACGCAGCAAGAATATGACAGCCTGCCCTATCCGGGTGTTCTCCAGGTATCTTGCTCTACAGCTCCCACAATCCCCCAGTTAGCATTGTTTTCCAGCACATCTGGGAGGCACCAGCTGGGGGAAAGCTGCAGCAAGGGCATGCAAACCCACCAGCACCTTGCTTGGTCAGGTCAGGGCTCCTGTAAGCTGGTGCTCTGTTTCCAGCAACCAGCATCAAGCCTCTGGGAGCTCAAAGGCAAGGGACAAGGGCAACAGCGCTCCCACGGATGTTAGCGGCGGGTGCTCTTTGCAGGGGCACTGCCTGTTGCTAATCACTACTGGCTGAAGAGAACCCCATGCCTTAAAAAAAATGGGTCGAAAACCTGTGGTTCTCCAGGTGTTAGCAAACGTCGTGGGACAGCTCTGGAGTGCCTTTTACGCCCAGCAACTAGGTGTTCTGTCAAAGCTTACCATGCCTTTCAAGCACTGCTATCAGTATTTCGCAATTCCTCTTCCAGATCACAGCACTGTAAACAAGCTTGTTCTTGGAACTATTAAAGGTTTTTTTAAATGTGATTCTGAGGGATGTAACATATACCAGACAATTAGGAACAGTTTAAAAGACTAATCCAACAATTGTAATGACAAAGCTTTGTCATGCTTAAGACATCCTGCAAAATGCAGAATGCCCAAAGCCTGAAGGGAACAGACAATATGGAATGTAACCCAAGGCAATTGGCCCAGTTTAGCTCCACACACAGAGAGGAGAGAGTCCAAGAAACAGAACTGCTAGTTGTGTTTTGTGTTCGCATGTTCCAAGAGGTTGCCGAAAAAAGTATAGCCGGTCTTACAGTACAATCCGAAGCTTATTTACTCAGAAATATTATATCCTATTACATTCAAAAGGGAGGTAGAACATAAGAAAGCCCTGCTGGATCAGACCCAAGGTCCACCAAGTCCAGCACTCTGTCCACACGGCGGCAAATCAGCTGCCCACGGGATCCCTCAAGACCTCCACCTGCCCAAGCTCCTCTGCAACTGGGAAAAGAGGAAGCACACGGTCCACAAGGCTAGTAACCACTCATGACCTCCTCCCCCAGGAATCTGTCCAATCCCATTTTTAAAGCCATCCAGACTGGTGGCCATCACCACTCCCTTTGGCAGCAAATTCCACAGTTTACCTATACCCTGGGTAAAGTACTGTATTTTTCGCTCTACAAGACGCACTTTTTCCCCCCTCAAAAGGGGAAATGTCTGTGCGTCTTATAGAGCGACTATGTCTGTGCAGTAAGTCTGTCAGATGTGCAGCATGGTGTGCCCGACACCCGGGACATGTAATACCACCGCCGGGACGCTGCCGGCCCGCCTGCACCACCTGGCCGGCATGCGCTCGGCGCACCCTGCTCCGCCCCCCCCCCCAGGCACAGGTGAGAGCTGTGCCACTCAGGGGGAGCGGTGCAGAGGAGGAGCCGCGGGCTTTAACCCGCCGACCGCGGCCAAGCTGACCCCACGGAGAGACGGACTGCCCACCCACCAGGAAGACCTGCCACTGCTGCCCGGAAGACCACCGCCGGGACGCTGCCAGCCCGCCTGCACCACCTGGCCGGCATGCGCTTGGCGCGCCCTGCTCCGCCCCCCCCCCCCCCGGCACAGGTGAGCTTCCTGATCATCACAGGTCAGTGTGTGTTTTCAAATGGCAACCCGTCTTTTAATGAAGCCCATGGGGAAGTAATGGGGAATGTGCCTGTGATTATCAGGAAGCTTTCCATGGATCAGAATGGTGCCTGCTTTATTAAGTTAATAGAAGGACCAATATCTGTTAGTTGATCAGACACATTTTTTTTTAGGATCAGTGGATAGTTGAACAGCATTACCTTTGTGTATGAAGTTTATTCTTCAAAGGCCACTTAGTCCGCTGTGTGTTTGATTTACCATACAATATCTCATTTTTTGTCAGAAGTTTTTTTCTATTATTTACTAGTAGGGCAGCGTGGACATTACTGGCTTTTTTAGATTTGTTGAATTGTCTGCAGCAGCTCTTGTATAACTGGTGTAGATTGTGGACTCCTTCAATAATTCCACTACTGACTAAGAAAGTGATGTCAGTGATGGTGAGCAACAGAGCTTCATAAATTCTGACTCAAGCGATGATGAGTTCTATAGGTTCAACAAAAACTAGAAGAGTACTCGAACTTTAAAGTCTCTCTTTTGTTAAGGACAGTGATGATGGTTCTTAATGCCACTGTTGACTGCTGTTCACTTTACAAGGTTGAAATACTGTATTACTGTATTCTGTTATAGTTTATTAAATAGTTCAGTAAACCATTTGATTGAGAATATTTTTTTCTTGTGTTCCTCCTCTAAAAATGAGGTGTGTCTTATGGTCAGGAGCGTCTTATAGAGCGAAAAATATGGTACTTCTCTCCTAAACCTCCCACCAATCAGCTTTATGGTAAGGATCTTTAGGACTGCTGCTGCAAGCTTTTAACTTCAGAAAAAGGGACCCTTTTTCTGTACCCACCTGATGAAGCTGAACAGCCGAGACTGGGATTTGAACTGTTCCTGAGGGTGCTGTCAGGAACACCTGAGGGACTCCACCTGCCAGAAAAAAAGTCACAGACATGCCATCAGCCATTTTCCTGATGATTCAAATGTAGATGCAGTGATTAACACAGAAGCAGGGCCAGAATCATTAAGTCGGCTCTGCAAGCAAAATGAGCCACCACACCAAAAGCAAGCAAGGCTCCACGCAACAAAAAGACATTTCATGCTAAAGAAAAAGCTACAGATCTGCTGGTGAAACGCAGGATGTCCTGTAGAAATGTGAGTCCATGCATACATTTTGGTGAAGCTTCAAAGTAAATATTAAAAAGAGGGTAGAAGTACATATTAAAAGGTAAGCCACTCCTCTGGTCCTAGGGATGCACAATCTGGAAGCCCTCCCCACAAAGGCCTCAACTGCACCTCTGCCCAGTGTCTCGATCCTATTTCCCTGCATCTGTCCCCAGCCCCTCTTCCCACCGCTGCCAGCAATTATACTGTTACAACCAGCAATTCAGACCCATTTCCAGTAAGGTAGGAACCATCCGTACGAAGACCTTACAGAGAGGGAGTCTTTTGTACCAGGGTCCCTGGCAGAGGGCAAGGAGCGAAGGATCTTCCCTGAGCAATCCCCATTGTTCTTTTCCTTTTGCAATTGGCAGTGAGGAAAAACCAACCCACATCCGGATCATTAGGATCTGCATGTGTGCATCACATACAGCCCTTCAAGTTGAAAAGGCCATGCCCTCCAGTTCAGACCAAGCAATGGCTCCCCTGCTTCCTGGTCCTTGTGCAGGACCCCCCCCCCCCACTTCTAACCAGAGATACCAGAGCCTGAATCGGGCGGTCTGCATGCAACACTTGGGGCTCCACTGCTGAGCAGTGCATTGGAGGTGCAAAGGTGCTCCTTTGAGCAATGCTCCAAATATGCTCCTGGACAGCATTCTCACTCCCATGCTGGCCACATTGTGACTGAAATAGTCACACATGGATTCCCTGCAGGTTCCTGTCTCCCCTGTCCTTGTTTCTCCTGTTCCCCATTGGTGTCTCTGGGCAGGGAAACGTCCTCTTGTGATCTGTGAAGCACCACTCACATGGACGGTATATATGCGCACGCACATATTTTCTCTGTCAAGGAATCAGAAAGTAATGCATGGAAGAAACAGATTGTCCACCCTACCAAAAGTGCCACCATCGTGCAAACTTGTCCATCTCCATCCTTACCCTGATCCTGGACCTGCCCATGTGAAACCTGCATTGCTGATGGTGCCTGGGAGAAGGCGTTGAGAACCGCGAGCCCGCCATCCGTGAGGCCTGACGTGGGTGCGTACATCACCGCGTGCGAACTGGGATACATCATGTGTCCTCCCACCGTGGTTGGCACGGATGAAGTCATGATAGTAGCTGGCAAGGTCACTGGCAGGACAGAAAGAAAAAGGGGTGAACTCAGACAGAGGGTGCCGCTCCAACAGGGTCACAGTCAGCCCCCACACCCCTTTCAGTCAGTTGTCTCCTTGCTTAACGTGCTAGTCAAGCTGCTATCAAGTGCATGGGGCTTGGGAAAAAATGTGTGGAAAACCTGGTCCTTGTTCGTGGTGCCTATCTGCCACATAACCATTTCCAGCGGAGAGGTTAGACTGGCCTGTTGCAGCAAAAGCAACAACCCCTCTCGTAGACTAAAAAATGAATTACGCCATCAACAGTCATGGTCACCCTCCACATCACCACCTGTTAACAATTGGTGGGTTTGCATACACATGGCTGAGGCGGACATGTTGACCATGTGCGCAGGAGAAACTGAAATGCAAAGGGTACAGAGTACATTACTTTAACTGCTGCCCTTCACAAAACCTCACTGGGCAATCAGCACTGCAGAGCTTGCCATAAACAGGTCGCAGCTTCAGTCACTATTTTGACATTTTAGACACCCAGTTCTAGGATATGATGGCTCTTTTATCAATTCCTGTGCTGTGCATTTTTTGCATTATACAATATTTTAACCTTTTTGTCTTCCTGTTGGTTCAATCTTCATGCAGAACATATAAGGAAAATTGGATTAGCATCAGAGAAAGGAGGAGTGAAAACTGATGGGAGATGTCAATAATTTAAGATGCAGATGATACTGTATTACTGGTAGAAGGCAGTAATGAATGGGAATGACTCCTGATGAAAGTGGAAGAAGAAAGCACAAAAGCAGGACTGCAGCTGAACATTAAGAAAACAAAAATCACTACAACAGAAGTGTGCGACTTTAAGGTCAACAATGAGAAATTGACATTGTGAAAGAGTTTACATACCTCGGCTCAGTCATCAATTCAAATGGAGACTGAAACCAGGAAATTAGAAGAAAACTGAGACTAGGAAGGAATAAGAAAAGACAATCAAGTGCAAGGATGTTGCACTGGAGATGAAGGTTGAGATCATCCACACTACTGTATTCCCAATCACTATACGTGGGTGTGGAAACTGGACAGTGAAGAAAGCTGACAGGAAGAAAATTGATGTGTTTGAAGGACGGTGCTGGAGGAGAGCTTTGCAAATACTCTGAACTGACAGAAAGATGAACAATGGATCAAATCAAGCCAGAACCTTTCTTTGAGACAATTATGGGACTGCAGCTGTCATACTTTGGGCACTTCACGAGAAGGCAAAACTCCCCAGAGAAGACAATCATGCTAGGGAAAGTTGAAGGCAGAAGAAGAAAAGGAAGAGCAGCTATGACATGGATGGACTCCATCGGGGAAGCCGCAGCCTTGAATTTAGAACAGCTAAGCAGGGATGTCTTGGATGGGACACTTTGGAAGGCTTTCATTCATAGGGTTGCCATAAGTCAGAGATAACTAGCAAAATTCTTTTTGATATTAACTGTGTTTTCAAATGGCATTTTAGTTTTTTAACAGTTTGTAATCAGCCCAGAGAACATTACTGGCAGACCCAAAATGTAGTAATTAAATGCATGTGCCAGAAGACAGATACTGCCTTTGGCAGCTGCTTTATATGGCAAAAGCAGGCACATGTGTGCATGTGTGACAACTGCGATGCGCCAGCAGGACTTGGATCCTTCTCTGCAGACCCAGATCTCTCTCTCTCTCTTCATGCTGGCTCCAAGAGAATTTAGCTGACTCCCAAAGTGTAAAATAAAAAATGGCACTCCTGCATTTTTTTCGTGCGTGAACATATATACATATACCTAGTAACAAAAGGCTAGATTTAAATGGTTCAGCTGAAAATGCTATGCAGAGTAGAGAAACCCTGCAGAACAGAGTGAGCGGTGGAATGTTGCAGAGGGAAGGATCTCCAAATACTGGGCTGAGGGCTCTTCCATGGTGGAACACTTCCTCTTCTGGAAGGCAGATCCTGGATCACACCCAAAGACTCAACATGTGCCATTTGAAGACTTGGACATACATGTGTTATGAGCAGGTAGCTAGGAGTGCCTGCCATTCTCCCTTAAGAATACAGTTGGGTTTGCCACCACGCAGTAAATGAAAACAATTTTAAATGGTTGATTTGGAAACAGGCAAGATTTCATCTGCTCATCAATATTATTTTGACCAGAGGGTTTTTATGAGGATATTGACATCTCCTAAACCCACTAGATGGCACTGTATCATCAAACTTTCACAGGGGCTCTTTTGCTAAACTATTAGCACTTGACTGGACAAAGGGCTCTTGAACTCAAAGAAGACTCTGTGACCTTGTGGACAAGTGCAGAGCAGCATCTGGGACAAGAATAATTTAGAATAAGCTCTAATTGTTGTAGGACCAGATGATCATGTCCATCACTCTATCAATGTCTTGCAGCAGGAGAGAGGAAATGGAGAGTTAAAGCATTGGAAGGGACCTTGGAGGTCATCTACTCTAACCTCCTGCTTGAAGGCAGGGCCTGAAATCCAGGGTGCGACGACAGCATCCTAGACAGGTGGACTACCTAGCTCTGGCTTATATAACTCCAAGCAAAGAAGGATATATGCTTCAGAGGCAGTGTGTCTGAAAACTGAAAAGCTCACACCATGTGGAGGTTTCTCCTGGCACTCAGCCAGAATCTGATCCCCTGCAATTTCCACCCATTGGGTTCCAGTCTGAAATGGGGGGAAAAAACACGCTGTTCTGTCTTGCAAGGTGGCTGTGTATAGGTCAGGGATGGGGAAACTCCATGAGCCAGATGCAGTTTTGGGGGCTGCCCCATCTAGTCAGTAGCAAACTTCTGTTGCTGTTATTAAAAGGCAGTTAACCTGTAAATACCCTGAGAAGAATCCAGCCGTTGCAGAGATTTTGAGCTGCATAGTCTGCAGACAGGAAAGCTCCTGCTCAGAACAGAGATGTGCACATTTTGGAGGCAGGGAGGCCTGCTTCCTTGTGAGCAGATATGCAGAGGCTTGGCATTTTGGATACCGTTACCATTTGACAGTGTTGCGGAGTGACTGAAGCTTGCTTGCCCCTGAGTAGACATGCAGAAGCCTTGTCCTGCTTACTTCTGAGTAGGCTGAAAAGTCATAGTATTTACATGTGGCCCCAGCCATGGTGTCTCTGCTGGGCTGTGACCCTCAAGACCTTTCCCGTTTCACATTCTGGACCTCAGTCTGAAAAGGGCTTCCCATCCCAGTGGTGGCTGCTGGGCAGCTGTTTACCTGTCCCGCTGGAAGAGGTCTGGGTGAGGTCAGTGCTGCTATCACTTGTGGGAGACGTCTGCTGGGGGGCCTGATGCACCTGGATGGCTTGCACGGGCACTTGCTGGGTCACCGTGCCACCTGGGAAGTGAGAAGCATTCGTGTTAATGTGTGGCTTGGGTTGGTTCCTTTCAGCTCATTATGAAAGTTCTTTACACACTTGTCCAGGCATCAATTGTATCATAACCCAAGTTACCCAGCTGGGTTAGCCACTGGCCACCGCAATAGCAGACACTGCAAGCAATTGCAGGAAAAAGTCAACCTGTAATTCAGGAAGCCATCAGGAGGTTTACACTGAAAACATAACAGGAATGCACTGAAATGAATTGTCTCTGCAAGCAGGAGACAGCTTTTGTAATTTTGGGAGCTGTTCTATGACATAAGAAGACCAATTGTAAAAAATTACAGGAGCAGGCATATATCCAAAACTGGCCCTAATTTCACCTTAAAAGTGAGTAAGACAAAGTAGTGTGTTTTGAGAAATGACCACCACAACCACACAAATGTGCTAATATGATGCGAAAGTTGGTATTACAGGAAAAAATTTCTTGAGATCGACCCACATACACACTGTGTGAGAGAGAATATCTTGCGATACAGCTCAGAAAGAGCCCCCACGCATTCATTTCCAGCATAAAGTTGCTATGCTGTCAATGGATTTGGGGTGGAATTGGCCCCTTACCAAATGTTTCTGGAACTTTTAAAGATCAACCAATCAGCTGAATTTAAGAGCCCTGCTGGATCACATCAAAGGTCAATCTATTGCCTTTTGCAACAGGCATTAGCTGAACCCTGCTGATTAGACCCACTGACCAGGCTTGAAGAAAATACACCCTGCCCCTATCTCCCTAAGAACTGATATTCAACAGAGATGCTGCCCTTGGAAAGTTCCTTTTTGCTATGACAGCACAGAATACGCCCACAGTCCTGCCTTGGATTAGATACAATGCCTTCGCCCAGCAAAACATAAGAGCAAAGAGAAAAGCCAAACACAAGCAGAAAATATGTATAAGTTACATTCAAGGTATCATTATTTGCATTTATTTATTTATCTATCACTATTTCCACATATAGACCACCCTTCCCATTAGGGTCCCAGGGTGAAGTACAGACATATTGATAAATAATATAAAACAATTTAAAACCACCATTGAGAAGGAAAGCCATTAGCTCAACTAAACAACCACCTTCATGAAAACTCCTCCTCCAACTATCCACTTTTCTCTATACAATATTTTTCTTTCTGCAACTGTTTTGTTTTATAATACAAGTCTACAGGTTGGGCTCATTTTGTTTAACTAATTGTATGTAAACTGCCCTAGGAGATCTTTTAGTTGAAGAGTAGGACAAAAATGTTTTAAACAAATAAATCTTAAATTAAATGTTCCATTGAAATCACAACCCCAAGGCTTCATCCCCTTTCAAAGGCCTGGATGTATGCCTTGACCAAGCAAGTACTGTTGCAGAACCACACCTCAGAATGTAGGGAATTCCACTAACTCAGGGGCCAACACAAAAAAGACCCTTTCATGTGCTGCTGCCCATCTTCAGAGGAAGCAGCATTGATAACAAGGTATCTCAGGCTGATCTAAACAGGGGCTGGTACATAAGGAAGGAAATGCTCTTTCAGATAATTACCAGGCAAGTTGTCTGGGGCTTTGTATGCTGATGCATTAACTTGGCTCCAAAACAAAAGGAAAACCTGTACAAATCCTTTAAGGCTGGGTGATATAGATGCATAGAGTATCAGAGTTACAAGGGGCCAGAGGGCCATCCAGTCCAATCCCCTGCTCAGTGCAGGATTCCAAGTTAAACCAACCCTCTCCGATGGCTATCCAGCTGCAGCTTGAATGCCTCTAGTGTAGGAGAGCCCACAACCTCCTGGGATAACAGGTACCACTGAGCCTTAACAATGCTACCTGTCAGCACCGAGTCTGCTCCTTCCAAACCGACTTCAGTGGCAGTCTCACGCAGCAATCTTTGCAACACTCCACTGAAAGAGCCCTGCCACTTGACCAGCGGTTGCCCATGCTTTATCTTTGGCTGGACTGCGGCACTTTCAGGACTGCAGATGGCAGAATGAATGTTTGAAAGCTCCCCCACATAAACATGTTCCTCATATTGTTTCTACTCGGAGACTTTCATTTTGATTTTTTACGATGGGGAGAAATGTTCAAGTTCCCTTCTCAAGGGCCGAAGACCAGCAACAAACCCATCACATGTGCATGCTGATCAGGTAGGCCAGCTTTACATTATAGCCAGGATTGGAGGTAAGCCAACAGAGAGGGGCTGATGACATCGCAGCTGCCTGGCTGTCTTGCACAAGAGTGGCTCTTTTGGAATCTGACCAACAAAACATAGCTCTGCACTGATGGTTCAAGTTCTTGACATCTGAAAAGAGTTATTTATCATCTTAGGGGGGACTGTGGAATATCACAGATCCCGGAAGAGAGGATTTAGAAGAGATGTAGGATGTTCTAGTGACATCGGGGTCAGTCCTACTATTAGGCAGAGTAGTAGAGCTGATTTTAGGTGTTCTGCAAAACAAACAAAGAGTTAGTTAGTTATTTAGTTAGTTAGTTAGTTGTTTGTTTGTTTGTTTCTGCCAGGGAGTTGGAGAATCATTTTTGGGATTTTCTCCCTCATAGGTCAAAAGAACATGACCAGCCATGGCTAATGTGGGGGGACAACCAAGGCAGCTAAAAAGAACATTGCAGTAGTGTAAGTAACCTCCAGTGCAATGTCAAACCTGTTTGCTGCCACAGGGAATCCCATTCATACCTGCAAGTGCTGTTGGCTCGCTTGGCACTAGAGCTCACTTACTTATCTTAGTGGTAGTGGAAGCAGCACCACTAGCTGCTCTGCCTTGAGCACCAAAATCTCCTAGGTTGGCCCCATATGGCATCTATTGCTATCATTATTATGCATAATAGCTAGGCCATAGAGCTTACTTATCTACCTTAGTATCTCGGCTACTCTGTACCATAAAGCAGCTGATGACAGCTGAAGTCACTTCGCGCTTCTGTTGAGGGCGTGTGTAAAGTCAGGACCAGAACCTGGCTAGGCCTGCAAGTATCTGCAGAACCAGAGACACCTCTGGAGGCACTTGCAGGGAAAGTTGAGAGTCAAACATGCAGTGCAGCTGGGGCCATGGAAACCAACATAAAAGGCCTCTCTGCATTGCTGCTCTCTGCTACAGCAACACAAGCTGCCTCAGTGACTCTCTGGTGTTTTGGCATCCTGCATCACTGAGCCCTGAACCTTTTGTTCCTGCCTGCTTCTGCCCCCATCCATTTCCAGCCACCCCACCCTTCCATCCTGGCCAAATCTACTCTACTGCCCCCCAGTACTTGACTCCTGGACCATGTTTGTGAACTGTGCTACCTTTCTGTGCCATATTGGACTGTGGGATTTCCCCCCTGGCAGTGGCCTTGGTCTGTCATCCCATTCTTGTCTCCAAATCTTGCCTAGCACCAGCGCCTGGGTCCCCGCATTCTGCCTGTCCACACCTGCTGCCCACATCCTGGACCTTACACTTTTCAGCAGAAGAGACTTGTCTCCTTCCAAAGCTTCTAGAGGGGGACAAGGCTATCCCCTGCTGTTGATACATGTGAAGAAAAGCACATAGACAATCGTCACCCAGAATCAAAGCCAGACTTTCCCTATAATAGATGTGGTGGCCAAACCTGTAAAAGTCTGGAAGGTATTAAGAAGATGTAATGAACGGCAAGGGGGACAGGAGAGGGAAGGTGCACTCTGACTCCCATCACTGCTGGCCATCGTATCATTTGCTGGCTGGGAATGATGGAACCTGCAGCCCAACACATCTGGAGAAACTTTAGAGTTGGAGAAGGCTGTCCTATAACCCTCAGCTGAGCAGGACTATGTTAGTTTCAACTTCTTTTTCCATCAGCGAACTCCCCACCATTCAATGCACAGGATGTTTATATCCCAAGAAATATTTACACACACTACCCAAACCAAAATGATCCTCCCTGCCTGCACAGCAACCAACCCCATGTGCACAGAAACAACACAGTGGGAGGCCAAGAGGAAAGCAGCTGGTTCCACTGCTACGAAAGCATTCAGTTAGCTATTGTCTTTCAGCATGAAAGGATGGACTTTTGCCCTTTTCAACCAGGTATTTTGGACAGGCCATGCAGATCTAAACCCACCACCCTATAGCCTTGCCTACTCTATTAGCCCCACTTTAATTTTTTTTTCAACCTATTTTAAGTCAAAAACATAGAACTTCCATCAGTTCCAGCCTTCTGATGCTAGTATTATCCAACTGGGCGATATCCTCAAGAGACAGCAGAGCTGCATCCCATGGAAAAATGGAGGACATTAGATTCCTTGTTCCATAACTCTCTCTTTTTCAAAACAGAAAAGCAAAAAGTAGGATGTATGTCATGCTATACCATTCCTTGATTAGCAGAAGAGCTACCTCCACAGGGCCACGCAAACATAGAGCACTTATAAAAAGTAAAGGTAAAGGTTCCCCTTGATGTTAAGTCCAGTCATGCCTGACTCTAGGAGGCGGTGCTCATCTCCGTTTCCTAGCTGAGGGAGCCAGCATTTGTCTGCAGACAGTCTCCGTGGTCATGTGGCCGGCATGACTAAACACCGAAGTGCACGGAATGCTGTTACCTGCCCACCAAAGTGGTACCTTTTTATCTACTTGCATTTGCATGCTTTCGAACTGCAAGGTTGGCAGCTGCTGGGACGGAGCAATTGGAACTCACCCCGTTGTGCAGATTCGAACCGGTGACCTTTCGATCAACGAGCTCAGCAGCACAGCAGTTGAAACCACTGCGCCACCTGCATCCCCTAGAGCCCATATACAGGGTTGCTAAAATGAAATTTCTTACTTTTCATATGGAAATGACTCCATTTCACTAGGCTTCAACCTAATAGTTCCCCCACACTTATTCGTCCCCTGCGCTGTGTCTTCAGGACTATGGTAACTCTATGACTATCGGTGGTTTCAACCTGTTATGGGAGTAGCAAGGTAGCCACTTTGCCCCCTTGCCCACCAAAAGTGCGTGTGGGTACCATGATTTATATAAGCAACTCACTAT